CTTCAGCCGGTCAAGTTTTGGACAAAAGGTAGTCAGCGCTTCCACGACCTGGTCGTCAAAGGCTGCATCCAGCCACTCCACCTTGAGTGCCCTGAGGTCGTGACCGCGCGCAATAAACAACTCAATCCACTTGTCGTTTGAAACCAGGTTGGCTCCCAGCAGCTGGATCTCTTCCAACGCCTTGGCCTTTTCGATCATGTAGTCAATGTTGCTGTCCTTCAACTGACAGCAGTTACGGAGTGACAGGCGCTTGACAGTCGGACACACTGCAAATATCTGATCGTAATCTTCTGTCTCGAGATATGCAGCCTCATGAATAGCAACATTTTCCATGTCGGGCTGCAGGAAGAGCTTCATCGTCGTGGGGTTCATCGCCCGCTTTTTCGAAAAGATCTCGCTGATGCGATTCATGACCGATTCCGGCATCTCGCCTAGCTCTTCGATATCTTCCGAGTGCTTTGCCAACTTTTCAATGCAGAGTTGCTGCAATGTCTTTGGCCCGCGCACAGTCAACCCGTCAAGGCGGTTACTCTCAATCTTTCTTCGACCCTTGCGCACAACCGGCTTGTTAGCCTTCTTCTCTGCTTTAGCGTCCTTGGCCATTTCTTTGCCACATGGTGTGCATAGAAGACCACCCTCTGGACCAGCTTTACTGTACGGCGTGACGGTGAACCGCTTATTGCAGATCTCGCAATTCTCTAGCTGACCAGGCAGGGGTTTGGCCTGCTTGTACATGTCCATAACGTCCTCAAAATCTGAGTCGTCATCCGGACCCTTCTTCTTCTTCTTGGCCGTCTTTTTGGCCGCTTTTCCCTTCTTGATCTTCGCTATAGCTTCATCTTGATCGCGCTTCCGTTTGCGAGTACGTTCAGCTGCCATTGCAGATGACTCTGCTTGTAGGTCTTCTTCAGGCTCTTCGTCCTCAGCATCCGCATTTGCAGATCCTTCCTCGTTGTTACTGGCTTGCGCTGCATCCTGCTCGGCTTGCCGAACACGTTGCTGGTACGAATCGCGAATCTCTTGTGCGGAAATGTTATTTGCCTAGTGTGGTGTAATCAGCACAAGTTCTTAATAAAGCCAAATCACAGAAATTCGTGGATGAAGTCAACATACCGCCAGAAAGTCTGTCAGCGCTGAGTGTGGCCCACGAATACCCGCTCCTCTTGGTCGCCGTCCGCTCCTGTCGCCACTCGTCAGTATTGTACGCTGAGTTCATGTGGTGCAAGTTAATGGCTTACATTTTGTCAATTTGTAGCAGCGCAAAGGAAGTGTATTGTACAAGATACGACTTATTGCCTGATGAGGGGAGGCAGTTGGTGTTGAAGTGAGTCGGAGGCCGATAAGCGGGGGTGAGACAGTGAGTGGTGAAGGCGCGTCCGGGGTCCACAGGGCAATCGCGCAATCACGTGGTGGCAATTACTTGCTGCATCGAGCAAAGTCTACCCCTGACAATTGATTCTTTTCCAGTCCGCCCACACACTGCTTTATTGAGTGGCGGATTACGTTTTAATGGATATCCTGGACTAATGCAAGCATGTGATTGGTTGATTTCAGCCAGAATGAAGTTCGCAAAAGAATCCTTTAAAATTACATTGTCTCGAGCATTTGTATCCACATAACTTCATTACACAGATTTGTGTTCATGATTACTCGCGACCCAGTCGTGCCATCCTTCCAATACCCTTAAGCTCTCGACATCAGATGTGATAACGAAGGTCTAGATGATAGTATCGTCATCGTCATCATCGTAATCATCATCATCGCCGTCATCTTCATCAGAATCGTCTGAATCACCCCACGCATCTACAAGGGGACCAGTCTCGCGGGCAGCATCTCCCATAGGCCTCTACAGCACAGTTAGTTGAACAGTTGACATTACGGCGTTTGAAATTCGCTGCACTTACTACGAGAGGACCTCGAGGTGCAGTAGTGGTCATATCCTCATCTTTAGGATAAAGCCCAGAAGTACTGGATCGCTCAGCCACACTCGAGGTAACCGAGTGAGACGAGCTTGCCGCAGAGACATATGAACGACTATTCGCGTTGATAGTCGAAGTTGAGCTGATAGTAGGCGCCTTGCTGGACTGGGTGTGCCATGATTTGGTGCGAACTTCGCTCAAGCCGTCGTTGCCAGTCCTTTCACGGCCAACGGGGAAAGCGTACTCATAATCAATCAAGTTCTCATCAGCAGATCCTTTCAGAGACATGGCCCGCTGGAAATCAGCCGACAATTTGATGCCGCCATCCTTGGCTGTGGAACGATTGGACGAGTGGTTCTCGTTGACAGTCTTCCAGTCATCATCGTCCTAATAGAGTCAGCGTATACCCCCTCAAAAAGGCCATAACTCTGGGGATGACAAGTCCAAACTCAATACATACATAAGACGAAGATGTGTCGGAAGTGGCCGCCGCGAAGTACTCAGGATACTGGCCATTGGAGTGATCTGGAGGGACGAAGGCCTTATCAGGATCTTCGTATTTGTCCTCGTTAAAGGCCTCATTGGCAAGCTGACCCTCGACGCACGCGAAGCATTTTGCCGTATCAGGATTGCGGCGTTGGGACTTTGCGAAATCCTCGAGACCCTTTGTCTTTCCACACATTGTGCATTCAACCTCAACTACTTGCCGGCCTGTGCAATTCTGACAGTTGATGGACTTGTTGATCTGACTTGAGGCCTTGATCTGCCGACGGGCATCGGTAAGCTGCTTTGAGGAGAACTTTGCTTGGGGAAGGTTCTTCTGGCAGCGACCGCACTTGATTTTGGCAGGGAGAGCAATGCCCTTGAGACTGCGAGGGTTAGCTAGGCCGTGTCGGTGCGTTCCTGGTCACTCATACCTTTCAATCTCATTTGGGTTGTAAGGAACCTGGTTGCGGCGGCTCTTCATGATGGGCAGTGAGAGGATCAAGCTTTGGGCCTGTGAAGCTCGAATCGTCTAGCTGCAACAAGCGTGCTGTGTCGAAGTAACAGTCACTGCGGTGGTGTAGCTATTTAGGTCTTGTGGCTATTGACGGTAAGAGTGAGTGTGCGGTGTGGAAGCGGAAGAAAGTTAGTGCCTGCGGGTGTTTGCTGTGCGCTCAGTGAAGGGTGACAAACGGCAGGAGCGGCCGTCGCATCGTGCAGGTGCCTCACTTAGCACACAAAGTAATCAAGAAATTAGATGCAGTCGCGGAATTTCGAGAAGTTTCGATCTAATAAGAAGAAAAGCAGAGGCGATATTACCTACAAAAGGTCTTGTGCAAGTTGTGGGATAGAATTTTGTGAGAAAGCGTGTTGAGCCATGCGTAGGACATAACTATGGAATCAGACCAAGCAGTACAGTAAAGGTGCAGCATCATCTAAGGAACCGCACAGCCTGTAGCAACTCCTTCTCTTCATTTTGCTATATGTAAATAATGACTTGAGCTAATTATAGACCATATTGCTATACTAAGAAGCACATATGTCACGCGTTGACTGACATGCAAAAACAAGCAAACGAGAATTCACGCATGAAACGCGAATGGGCTACTGATATCGAAAACACTGACTTTGTTGCTTCAACAGTTTCTTGAAACGCAAGTGGCCTTCTATACGCGAATCTGCTGAAGGAACATTCTGTTTAAGTAACACCCTTCTGCGATCGGCTCACTGCTTTGTTATAGCACGCCCATCTCAGAGAAGCTACAAACTCATTCAGCCCCTAGGCACAGCGGCAGTAGCCTCCACGGTTATTTGTGCAACCACCACCTTGAGGACAATGGTCCCTTACGTATTGGTCGCAGTCTGACTGACCAAAGCACTGATGAGGCAGTTAGTGTCAGCTATCTACCCTCAGAGTCTTTCACCTACAATGTTGAGAGCCGATGTACTAGTCATCATTGTGGCCAGCACGGCAAACAGGTATTTGAAGTGCATGATGAATATAAATCTTTTTAGGAGATACGTTTGTGCAATCAATCAATCAAATTGAAGTTGTAGATCTGGGTGAAGTTTATGCTCTACAGAGCAAAAACACCGAAGGTATAGTGCGACAGAGGTGCTTTTTATGTCTTATCCGCACAAAGCCGGTGAGATTGCGTCTACATGTAAGTGAACAGGTGGCGTTTGGAGCCAGGCTTCTCAGTCGCTTACTGGAATAGCGGCACACTGTAACAACAGCACTTGGGCTCAATCTCTCTTTGCCAGATTAGTGCGTACATGGTTGTTGATTGGCGAGAGTCCAAGTCAATACCATGGATGCAACGAGGATCCGAACTTAATCTTGGAGGCCGCGACCATCATAGCCGTATTGCCAATAAAGCGCCGGTGGCTTCGGATGTACGGAATGTGGTGTTCCATGCCGTGTTTCGGTACCCATGTGCTTCCTCCAACGTCTCACGCATACTGCTCTATCATCGTCACCTCATCCATCAATGGAGTCTCCGTCACTTGTCTCGACACATCTGTAATATCTTCTGTTAGACATCATCTGCTTGATTGTTGGCGTGAATTCTGGGAGGAACACGATAATTTTATGAAGTAACTTTCAATGGATGTCTAGTATGCTACTGCATGTAATGTTGATCCTGTATCTTTTCAGTAAAGAATAATGCGAGTGTTTCCTGGCAGAAGACGCGCTATCCATAAGTATTAGTTGGCCATGTCGATAGACGTGTTTTTAGACCTTGTGCAGACCATGTCGAACCGGGCGATCTTGTAGTTGTTTTTTCTATCTTCACCAAGGTCAGGATATAAAGTGTACATGAGAAAAGGCCGATGCATCCGTCATTGTCCATGTGTGGCTTGGATGCATGTTCAGACGAGCTTATGGCTGGTGGGGGGCGCAGAAAGACAGGGATCCCAGGCATGACGCCACAGCCGAGGAGCCAAAATTATTCTCGATAAGACGATAACAAAATTATCGCCCGTCCGGCGCTCGCCCCCCACCAACCCCAGCGCTGCAAGTCCCGACAGTCGTCGATATTCACATTCACAGTGGCGTCGATACCTTTTCGCTTCAAGGCAGGTGGCAGCGCAAACATGGCCCCAATGGAGTCGCATCACCACCGCAGCACCACCAAGAAGGACAAGAAGGGCTTCAAGTCCCGCCATGCCACAAAGGGTGCGCTCAAGGAGCAGAGCAAGGGTAAGTGCTGAGCAATTTGCTTCATAACTCAGTCCTCCCTCTAACATGGCTCTACAGGCAAGGTGAACTCCCTCTCCTTCGAGTTCGGCAGCCGCAAGACACCCCACCAGCAGGTTATGAACAAATTCGACCGCCGCAACCGCGCCAAGCAGATGCGCATCAACAAGGACCACGAGCACGCAAAATCGACCAATGTCTTCGCCGGCAAGGATGGTGCCCCCCGAATCGCCGCCGTCGTCCCCCTCTGTTCCGATACTTCTGCCGCTGCCGCCGTGCGCAGCCTCAACTCCAGCCTCGACATTGACGATGACGTGCCCGAGGCTGGTTGGACCAGGACCAATGTCGATCGCTTCAAGCAAAAGGTGCAATACCTGGTTGTCAAGAGGGATTTGTTGACCGCTCTCGACGCTTGCCGCATTGCCGACTTTGTTGTCTTTGTCCTGTCAGCGAATGAAGAAGTGGATGAAGAGGGCGAGTTGATACTCAAGTCGGTGGAAAGCCAGGGTATCTCCAACACCTTTACCGTAGTCCAAGGATTGGACAAGATCGAACCTGCCAAACAAAGACCTTCTGTCATCTCATCGCTCAAATCGTACATTACCCACTGGCTACCGTCAACCGACCGTGTGTACTCTCTCGACAACCGACAAGAGGGGGCGAACCTTGTCCGATCACTATGCACAACTACTACGAAAGGCGTTCGGTGGAGAGATCAGAGGAGCTACATGTTCATTGAGGATATCACTTGGCCCGGAGGAAAGTCGGCCGTCAGCGAGGATGGGACTGGCGAGGTCGTTGTCACCGGTGTAGTTCGGGGACTTGGACTCAAGGCAGACCGGCTTGTCCAGGTTGGAGATTGGGGCGAATTCCAAGTTGAAAAGATTATCGCTGCCCCGCTAGAGTCGCGAAAGAAGACTAAAGATGAAGAAATGGCCGTTGATTCTACTGATGATACCTTGGAGCGACCAACTGAAGACCAAGACGACTTGGCAGAACTCGCCCCTGAAGAAACACTCATGGACGATGTAACCAACTACGCCACATCTGTCGCCCCTTCTGAGCGAAAAGGTGTCCTGCTTGACGATCACCATTACTTCTCAGACGAAGAAGAAGAGACTGCCCCCAAACAGAAGAGGCGATTGCCAAGGGGTACTAGTAACTACCAGGCCGCCTGGTACCTAGATGACATGTCTGATTCGGGCTCCGACCTTGAGGATTTTGACATGGATGACGGACAAGATAACCAGAGCCAGCCCGCCCATCCAGCGGACGGTGTGGAGGGTATGGATCTCGACGGAAAAGCAATGACTGAGGGTGCGCCATCAGAGTATCCCCAGTCTGAGATGTTCATGGATCCATCACCAGAGGACGAGGCGGCACAAATCGAGGAGTACCGCAAATCGAGGAAAAACGAAGCGGACGAGGATTTGGAGTTTCCCGACGAGATTGAGCTACACCCGAATGTCAATGCACGTGAGCGTCTTATCCGTTACCGAGGATTGAAAAGCCTGAAGACCAGTGTATGGGACACGGAAGAAGATCGACCATACGAACCTGAGGAGTGGCAACGGCTGCTTGAGATTTCCGACTACAAGCGCACCGCCACCAAATTCATGCGTGAAGCATGGGCTGGGGGTGTCAAGGCCGGTACTCGAGTGAGCGTGCACATTCGAGGAGTTCCCTTGCAGTTCCAAGCGAACGGATCGCGGCCAATGGCCATGTTCTCACTACTCAGGCATGAGCATAAGCGAACAGCATGCAACTACAGCATTCTGCTTAGCTCCGAGCACGAGTCTCCCATAAAGTCAAAGACAGAGTTGATTGTACAATGTGGTGCAAGGAGGATCGTAATTAACCCTGTAAGTCGAAGCAGTTTCCTAACACGCTCCATAAGACATGACTCTAACTTACATTGCTCGCAGCTTTTCTCAAACGCAGGCAACACGCCTAACAACGTACACAAATTTGCCCGTTATCTGCACCCAGGACAATCAGCGATTGCGACTTTTATTGGCCCCCTCACATGGGGCAACGTCCCGCTTCTCTACTTCACTCGCACAACACCTACACCCGAGCACCCCTCCCCACTCCGCCTAATCGCAACAGGAACATCTCTTCCTCCATCAACAAACCGCATCGTAGCCAAGCGCATTATCTTGACCGGTCACCCTTACAAGATCAACAAGCGTGTCGTCACCGTGCGCTACATGTTCTTCAACGACACAGACGTCAAGTGGTTCAAGAGCTTGCCGCTATGGACCAAGCGCGGACGAAGCGGTTTCATCAAGGAGAGTCTGGGTACGCATGGTTACTTCAAGGCTACCTTTGATGGCAAGATTAATCCAATGGATGCCGTCGCTGTCAGTCTGTACAAGAGGGTTTGGCCGAGAAGTGCGAGGGCTTGGAGGGGCGAGTTGGAGTAGCAGTGAAGTAAATATGGCTACCGCTTCCTTGTCGTAAATGTGATGAAGGAAACATGAGGTTTATGATATCAATGGGCATTCTAGATAGGTCAAAAATGGACAAGGCGTTCTTTTTTTGGAAGTAAACATCTTGCTACGTTCATACTATGCCATTTACATCGTTGCTGCAATCAGTCAATTTCCAATAGTGTATAAAAGGTATCTTAACTACATAAAAAAGAAAAGAGACAGGAAGACGCCATGCAAATGCAGTGGGAAAAATGCTTTTTTTTCGGGGGTAGCGCCTTCTCCTCACCACCCTACTTCCTTGCAAATCGCTCAAGCGCAGGGCCGTATTCCTTCTTCATCTTCTCTTTGCGCTCAATCTGCCTCTTCTGCATATTCTTGAGCGCCTCGCGTGCGCGCTCCTTTTCTGCATCAATAACGTTTCTGTTGCCGTTCTTCCTTAGGTACCTCCTCAGTGCCGAGTTCCTTCCCTTGCCCCTCTTTTTCAGCAGATCCACCTTGTCTGGTTCGCGTTCACCCCGCTGCGCGCGGTACTCCTTTTGCCGCTCCTCGTGCGACGTCAGATCGAGGTTACCGACAAAGTTGGGGTCGAGCGCGATCATCTCGGGTTGGAGCTTCTCGAGGAGGGCATGGACTTCGGTTTCGCGGCGTTGCTTGGAGGTTTCGTAGGGGTTGGTGCCCGGTTCAAGGGAATCGGGGTTGGGCTCTCCGGATCCGGGAACGATAATGGAGGAGAAGCCGCGGTCATGAGATATACCAAGTACATCTTCAAAAGGACAGAAGCGCACTCGGCCAACATCGAGCCCTTGGCCGCCCCATCCCATATATGGCATCTTGGGTTGTGATTGATCTTCGGGGCTGCGTCGGAAGATGTCATCTTTATAAATAGAGACTTGAGTTCCGTAGCCTACTGCAGTAAGGTTGCGATCGGAAATGGAGAGAGTGGTGCCTGGGACACGCAGGTGGTGTTGGTGCATTTCTTTGAACATGCGAATGTCCCACACGGACATGCGCCGGTCTTGAGAGGTGCTGACCATGTAGGTGCCTGATCTATCTATGGCAATGCTTCGTACAGGCCCACGGTGCGGGAGGAGCTTGACGAGGGGTGTGGCGCTATTCGGCGACCACAGTGTGACAAGACCCTTTTGGTGGCCAACGTGAAGGATTGCGTTTTGTGGATTTTGCGCGAGCGCTGTGGCGGGGCCAAGTTTGGTGTAGAGCTGTGGCAGCGATTGACCGGTCGAAACGTCTGTATATCGTATTATGCCCGCTGTCGATACTGAGGCGAGGAGGAAGTGGTACGGAAGGTATTCGAGATGCGTCGCCTCAGAATGGTTCTTGAGCTGATGCATTTCAACACCGTCGCCTGAGTAGATGTAGACGCATTTCTTTTGTGCAACAGCGAAGTTTTTCTGGTTGCTTGTATGTAGCCATCGTGCATCGCGCACCGTCTCGTTGAGTTGTAGTTCGCAGCCCAGCTTTCCGGCTCTCCAGTCAAACGTTGCGACATGACCTTTCCGGCCCGCAATCAGCAAATCGCGCCCATTGCGACTGTACTCGCACACATCGTACGGCCCAAGGCCGTCTAATCGCAACTCGAACCCTTTTTTTGCCGTCTCTAGGCCAACCTCCCGCTTGATCTCGTCTTGCCGAACGCGGTATGTCCTTTCCAACTCATTTTCCGGCTCCAGCAGTCCAGCATTGTTCTCAAGCAGGACTTCGACAGTTTTTGCTTCTATCGCCGCCTGTTTGTTCTTCGACTCGAGAGACTTCACATTTGCCCGAAGCTTCTTATCTTTGACTGATTTCGGCCGTATCCGGTCGCCGCGACCATATTGTTGTGTGGCTTTCTCGGTGAATTCTGCGACTGCGCGAGCGTCTTCGTCCATCAGTGCGCTGTTTTGCGACTTGCGCCCCGGTTGCGAAGTCCTGGCTTCAGGCTTGCGTCCGGAAGCCATGATTGTGACGCTGCAGTGTATCTCTTAAATTTCCGCAATAAATATCGCAACTGAGTTTGTAGGGCAGGGAAGCAAAAGAATTCGAGATTTGGGTTGCGCGTGGAGAAGTCGGTTCGTGCATGTTCAGCAGTCCTAGAATTATTTCTGCCATATGTCACCGCCTCGAAATCTTGGCTCCACAAACTGTGGCTTGTCACGTGCCGTAAAGTGGGTCAATCTTTCACCATCCCTGATTGATACCGTTTTCTCAAATACCCAAAAGGCTCCGTTAGTTCATCTTATCTGAGATGACGTGTCAAACGACACGAAGAGAGTGACCGCAGTGTAGGGACATTGGATGTAGATTTCTTTGTTGAGTCTGAACCATTGCCCAGAATCCTCGTGCGATGAACTCCTAGAAGCCGTAGCTAAGACTATGGGCGATCTCTATGAGAAACTTCTGAATCAATATAAGTTCTAGCATAAGCATGTTATCATCCGGACACACAACGAATGCGTATTGTGGTCGTGGGCGCCTATGAGGACGCTTTGACCATCAATGATTGAGAGACTTTGCCTCATTCTTGACTAGAGCGCAGGTGTCACTTGCTGATGATACTGACAGGGATACAAGTACATGCTCGAAAACTTTTGCTATACATTCTCATCTTAAGGTCTAGCTAAGGTAAACCCTTGCTAGTGATCAACAGTACACACGACATACTGTGTAAGGGCAAACCTACCATCACATGAAGGTGCATTTACCTGTTTTGGCAAGTAAGATCGGCTGGAGATTCAATCCATCCCTTCTGGCATATCCCTGCGTAGTCATGTACTGTTGTTAGACTTGCGAAGCATCAAGGTGTTCTGATTTAACTGCAGGGTTAAAGAAAAGATGGGGACAGCGAAAAAATAGCCCGAGAGAGTATACAGACATGAAGCGCCAAGTGAGCTTGAAAAATAGGAACATGTATTAACAGTGAATCAGCATTAGCAATATGTTGTCAAAATTGATATGATCAGTAAGAAGTTTCAATAAACAGACAGCGCCTAATCAGCAGCACCGGCTTGATGTGAAAGAACTAACACTACAAGTGGTCGAGTTTCCCATCGAATGGCCCACGTAACCTGGTGGTAGCCCCAATGGTCACCACCTAGACGGATCTCATGTCCCTGAATGCTAATACGTATGTCGAATGGCCGCGACATCGGACATTTCCAGCACGTTTGAAAACGACGCATACGCACCTAACGCACGATCAGGCCCAATTGCCAAGCTCACTTGCTCAATGAACTTTTTTTTCAACTCTTCCTCGGTAAGTGGATTCTGAATACTTCCCTTGGCATGCTCGATGTGCTTTTGTAGTATTGTACCGTCCTTGAAGGTCAAAGTGACGTATGCTTCGGACCGGGATACGCCTTCATCTTCGGTTGCAGTGACTTTATTGCGTCCACTTATTACGGTTGGGTCTTTGACGACGCCATCGGTGAACTGAGTAGGTCTCGCTTCTCCGTACACCAGACCCACTGCGGCAGCGTGGTAGATGCTGAATTTGCCCTCAAGTCCAGTCCGTGGCTCTTTCTTTCCGGTCAGGATGAGAACTTCGGGGTTGACACGAAGTTGTACGGTATCGATGTCTTCGATTGAACGACTCCGCAATAGTGTCTCATTGCGGAGGTAGATGGCAGCATCAATGGTCGGATGCATGACGATTCCACAAGGATAAGGTTTAAAGGTGTTCTTCTCGATTTCCCATATCTTTCCCAGCTGATCAAAATACGCTGTTGCATTTTCCCGCGTGCTGACAACATGAAGCCATCCATATTTGGCTTCGAGGGCTTCGAGAGAAGAAGTGTAGCCATTCTTTGCGAGCAGCGCAGCTAGAATACCGCCTTGTGCAGCGCGGCCAATATGGAAAGATTTAGTGTCCGATCCGAAATACACTTGCATCCCCACCACTTGGGTAGCAGCAATTCCGATAGCGTGTTGCATATGCGTAGTGTTCAACCGGAGAAGTTTGCTTACACCGACGGCTGCGCCAATGGATCCTGTTGTGGAAGTAATGTGCCATCCCACATCGTAGTGCTCGGGCGAGACAGATAATCCCAATTTGCATTCCGCCTCTATGCCTGCCACAAATGCAGTAATGAACTCATGGCCAGTGATAGGTCCATGTGCTTCAGCTACTGCTAAGAGCGCGCTTGCAACGGGCCCGGCAGGATGGATGATAGTTTCAAGATGCGTATCGTCGTAATCATCAACATGGCTGGTGATGCCGTTTATCAGAGCTGCAGTTTGAGCATCCCCAAGAGCTTGTGAGGTAGAATCGTTTGCGCCCAGAATCGAAGACGTTGGCGGCCCTGAGAACGCAGAGAGTGTGACGTTGAGTGCAATCTGCGGTGCAGCCTGGAAAGGAAAGCCGCCGATTGCGCATCCAGCCCAGTTGAAGAAGGATTTGTTAGCAGCTGCAAGCACACTGCTAGTGAGGCTGCTATATGTCAGATTGGTAGCCCAGGATGCAAGTTGTAGTGTAGCCATGATGGATATCGAGGTAACGAGGCAATGCCACTGCTATACGGAGGCTTATAAATATCCGTACTGTGTCTTTTTCCGTGGCAATGACGAATATCTCTCCACTGCAGATATTGAGAGCCGACATGGGCAGAGCCTTGTGATACGAGGCTGACGCTGAATCGTGATTTGATCTCGATCAAGCATTGATTCGCAAAGAAACGAAAAAAAAAACTTACATTGGAATGTTTGGCTAGTATGGATAGGATACAGGCGGCGCTTGTCGATCACCAAAGAGTCGTCAATAAGATGGCGGGGTTGATATTAGCTTCGGATTTTTTTCCGACTTGCAATGGGTGATGTGGTAATCTAGCAGAGTCAAAAAGAAACTGTCAGAATCCCGCACGATCGGTCTTCGAGTTCAAATCTCGAGAAGAAGAAAAAGGATGATTGAAGAAATAATTTACATGATATTCCTAAAGAAATTCCGTCTTACAAACTGAAAACGAGGCAGTGGAATTTGGCGTGCCACTTGATGGAGATGATCCCGCAGAATTCGGGGTACTGCCTGATCTGCATGATGAAGAAGAATCCGAACCGCTCTTAAACGGGCAAGGGCTAGGGTTCAGTAACTCGGCTTCAAGCCTGTCTGCCACTTTCCAGCTATCCCAGGGTCCTTCTCTTCTTCGGGAACCACGCATGAGAGCGAGAATGCGCTGAGCCAAGGCAGGGTCTTCGCAGGACAAGCCAACGAAATACAGGGCAGGGATGGTGTCACTGTCCAGTGTGAATATAGGTCGATCCAGCCATGAAGTCTCGATGCTGTATAAGAGCTCTGCCATATCAACCAGCTCGCGTTGAAGCCTCGCCAGTTCCTCGGCTTCGTTATCGGCTCTGATGGGCATGATGACTTCCCATACAGCGCGGCGAAGCATTAGGGTCAGTGTCTCTCTTTGTATCTCTATCGGGACATCTGTATTGTCGATCTGAGATGCTACGAGAAGATTGAACTTGGTCTTCCATCGCTCGAACGGCTCGATGAGTTCATTCATATTGTCGGGCATGTAGTAGTCTTTGTCAGGTATTCCATCTGATTCGTTATCGGGACACTCGATGTAGGTCATTCTAACATCTAGGTCCCACATGGCGTCTTTGGCTTCTGCGAGGCTGGCAAATGGTTGTACACTGTCATCAAGTTCCACCATAGGCGCCACATATGGCAACATATTCGGGACGTCGAAGTCGTCGTCGAGGTAAGATACGTCGACGCAAAAGTGAAGCAAGACGGTTGCAATCTCCTGTATTAGTTGTCGGAAATTGGGTGGGACGGTAGACAAGTCGAAGGTTTCGAGGAGGCGAGCGCCGGCTTGCATATGACGGAGTCCTTCGTCGGTGCGGCCGAAGATATTCTCCAGACAGACGAATAGTAGGCAGCAAGTGAGGATCTTGAGTTGCGAATCCCAAAGTGATGAACTGTTGCCGTCGTTGAGCGTTACGAGTTGTCCAATGGCATTGTTGTAATACTGCGTTGCGACACACTCAAAATGGGTCATGGATGCGTCAGTGTCTCCTGGGCAAGGTGTCGAGAGCCTTTGTAGGTAGACGTAGTGGGCTGCGCCGAGCGCAATAACCGCATTTCGCACAGCGGGCTCGGCATGGCACATGGGGAGTACCCTCTGGGACCAGAAGTCTTTGGGGTTGGCGAGACGGACAAAGTCGACCATGGTAATGGAGCGAAAGTGGTGGAAAAACATGCGGTCGTACACACCACCGTCGATGTCGAGGTTCAGTCTATTACCTGGAATTAAAAAACGTGGCTGTGAATGCTTAACGACGGTTTGGACCATTTCGGGAGTGGCCTGGATGGTTCTCTTCTTTGCCTTTGCAGACGCAACTTTTTGCAAAGGCGATTTCTTCTTCTCGGCTGGTATAGGTGCATATCCATCACACTTGACTTGACTGTCTCTACATCGGCGGCAGGTTGGTTTTTCTTCGTCGCATTTTTTCCTGCGAATTCTAGGGGTGAAGAAGGGTCTTGTCAGCATGACTTTAACCTGATAGGTGGAGTAATGCACGATACTCCACTCTTCTCGTATTTGCCCGAAGAGCGGCGGCCATGTGGCGAGGTAGGTGAAGGTATCTTCACGAACACATGAAGAGTGTAGGCCTTTCTCTAGATGACACTGGAGCACACTTACTTGCTGTCACAAAGCGTTAACAAAAATTTCATAGCAGTGGCTTTCAAGGTATCGTCGAAGATGAGCAGCAGCCGTCGCAAAGTTCGCCCTGCGAGCTATTTTACGATGTCTTGTGCAGATGGCTGGCGAATGGGTAATGGGGTCAGGATGGCAGAGATGATAAGAGGCAAACCACCAGCAACCATTCTTTATCTCGAATCTTGAAGTAACTTACCATGTAATACATCCTGTGCGGACTTTTGGTGAGAATGCGCGCACTCGAGGAGCCTTGGATCGGACTGGTAAACCCAAGAGGCTATCATTGGTTGTCGCGTATAGCGGACGGGTCAGATTGTCGATGTACATCGTGGAAGCTCGGCGGTTGTGAGAGTCTTGACTAAGACGGTGCAGGTCATGTAGGAGCCACGATCATAAGAATCCTCGAGAGTCGTAGGGTGTCTCCAGGAAAACGTGGAAGGGGGGGCGCAGTTCCGTTATGGGCCGGCAAGTCGGCCTGATGCGGCGGTATTTTGGCGGCTGTGGTTGGCCAGCGCGTATAGACAGAGTGCATTCACTCCAAGCCGGGTAAGTCAGCCAATCGGGACACTCGTCCTATTTTAAGCTTCCGCACGTTGCCACAACAAGAGTCGCAAAGCAGCGTCAGCTCGGCCTTAAGCGAGTCGTCGTTTACCAAATCGAGTAGATTGGATATGGCCGAATGCGGCTTAGCGCACTGCCATCAACTATACGCTGGGCGCTGGGCGGCGACTTGTGTGTATACGCTGCGAGGGTGACGACCTGTCTACGTATGCGATGAGTGAGAAATGAACCAAGAGCGAAGCAGCTGAGTTGGCGTAGTAGTGTACGAGGAGGGAGCGGGAATATAAAGAAGTATGTGCATAGTACTTGGACGCAGTACTTAGCATTGAAACCACCACTTTCAGCCACCAGTACATACACACGGAACAAGTCAAAACATAAAGCTTGTTTGAGCTTACTTAGGTAAGATGCGTCTCGAAGCGCTGCTTGCTCTGTCAAGTTTCTGTAAGCACCCAGACCTCTGACCGCACTGTTTCACACGTGATATGCATCATGCTAAGATGGTCTAGCCCTTGCGCCCTTTGCCCTTGCGAGAGTGCTTCCACGTGATGATTCATGCGACGACGCATCTGCATCTGCATCTGCATTTGCACCACCAGCCACTAGTCTCAAAGCCGATATCCGAGCTGACACTGACCGCGACGGCCTCATCGACCTCATAGGCACCAACGACTCCAACGCCAAAGCCACGTGGACTGCCGACTCGGGCGCCATCTTCCTCCCCAACATAGGGGACACGGATAAGCGTTGCTCCAACGCCCTTCTCAAGGGCTCTGCCGTAGGCAATGACAAGCTCGACCGTTGTAATGACGCCTCTGACAACATACTACGCTCCGAGCAGTTCCTTGCTCCACTCCTTACAGTCCCTATGCCCGGCCTCCCTGATGGTGCTTCTGGCCGCGTCTATATAAAGGACCAAGTCCAGCGCAGCAATGTTAGAATCTTCTACCAGCCAAGCTGCAATAGTACTTGGATATACGTTGACGGCAATACTACCTTTAGCGCAGCCGCACTCCGCAAGGGTCTTGTCCTTGGCATTGACGGCCGGGATGTACGTCGTCCCAGTGGTTGGGATGGCCGCGCCCTTGTGACTTTCGATGTCCAGAGTTCTAGTAATGGCACATCGTCCGATAGTGTCATGCTGCGCGTTGCCCCCGTTCTTACCCACTCACACCTCGACCCTGTGCAGCAGCTCATTGGTGTCAAAGGCAATGAAACTAGCACTCCATATCTCAACCGTTTCAACCAGCAACTCAAGGCCGCCGTCAACGATACTGGCCTAGAAGACGACGACGACTTTTACTTCTTCTCCGGGAGCGATGACATCTGGGCTCAGGACTTCATGGTACCGGGGTTCGCTTCTATGCCTGGTCCTGATGGTCCCATCAGCTTGCGCATCATGATCAGAAGTCCGCAGGACGAGCGTGTTGCCGGTCGACAGTTGTTCGAATACTACCGAGACACTAGCATCGGCGCCGTCCAGCAGCTTGGCGGATCACGTGACGAAATCAATTCCGGCGGTAATATCGAGACTATTCCTCCATACGAACTTATTAATGGTACTTCCTGGCCAGCTGGACGTTTAATCCTCGGTAATCATGACAAACAGAGTCACGCTTTGCTACCGTTTTTCCGGGCCCAGGAAACCCAAGATCCTCTTCTTCTCGATACTGACTGGCTACTCGTCGGCCATGTTAGCGAGTTCATTCAATTCGTGCCCTTCGATTCAGAGCGTGGTTGGGTTATTATGGTTAGTGATCCTAAGGTGGGTGTTAATATGCTCCAGCAGATCAAAGCTAGTGGACAGGGCTCACAACGTGTTTTTTCTCGTAACGACACGGTTTCACCGAGTCCCTGTAACAACTTTGCTTGCCAGCCTATCCCTGTGGAGTCTACCACCATCAATCAAATACTCGCCAACCAGGACTTCATCTCCGTGCAGGAACAATGCGCCAAGCGCATTGAGGCTAACTTGCAAATTCTCAAGCAAGCGACCGGCGTCACCGACGACGAGATTATTCGCCTTCCCGCCCTATTCAAGCGCGCTAGCTTGAGCCTCTCTAACACTACCTCCATCGCTAACGGAACTGATGCACTCAAAGTTGGCGCCTTGATCCCTGGCGTCATCGATGGCCTCGTCTTGACTGGCTTCGACACATACGTCGCGCCCAACCCATGGGGTCCCCTCGTCAACGGCACAGATGTTTTTGCCCAGACGATCACATCGCTCTATAACAGTGTCGGCCTGGACGTCGTTTTCATTGATGACTGGAACACATACCACAAGTACGGTGGAGAGATCTACCGTGGAATCAACTCTGTCCGAGACATGGACGTAGAGTGGTATGGAGGAGATATCGATGGCGACGATGACTTTGATGATGACCTTGATGATGACTGCGCATACGGTAATTATACGATCAACGGAGTCGGTGGCTACAATGCAACTGACGCCGACGGTCCCGACGATGCCAGCGATGCCGATAACGGAGACAGAGACGACGGAGATGACGGAGATGATGGAGACGGAGACAACGCCAATGATGGATATGGGCCAGGGAACGGAAACTTCACTCTCTCTTAGAATAGATATAACAACGTGTCACGATAGGTGTCCTTCATGTCAGATCGACGAATAACGATAGCCCCCTCGTTTTTATAGCTTATTTCCATTCAATCACTAGACGAAATTTCAATCAATACATATCACTTTATATTTCTTAAATTCAAATACCTAGTATCTTGTCCCTTCATCATAATAACTTCTCTCTCAAGTTCTTGATGTGTACATATATCCTTGAACATATTCGTAGAGTTACATTCTCCTTTGCGACAAAGAAGGAAAAAAAAAACATCTTGCGCCATTTAACTCGCAGATATTGCACGAGTGTAGTTAGTATCGAGCCACGAGTCTTACTATGGTGGATACGACTGCCTTTTTCCTTTTCCCTGCACCATTCAATAGGTAGCTAGATGAACGAGAACCCAAGGCCAAAGAGAACAGCTAGGTGGACTGAAAAGATTATCAATGGCAAGATTGATCTGGTGCACATGAAGCCCTCGCCTTATGCTCAGATCTAGACGATAGCTTCTGCCCAAGGGTCACAAGTAACCCTGTATACCGGCACAAGATTAGGGATTACGAGTACGAGGCTGGTCGACTAACTGATCCCCCTTGGTTCCCTTTGCCAACATGATTTCGAGGGATGAAAAGAGTCCAATGTATCGCTACTGAAAGACGCACCTTCTTCCCAAAGATCAGAAATCTATGAATATTCGCTTTTTTTCCATACCATACTTTCTTCGAAATTTCTTTGTACTCGTTGATTCGAGTACAAATTGACGCTCCATATGTTTATGTGAGTGTTGAATAGCGAGATAACACAAGAAAAAATGGTACGTTCATGTCACGCTAAAGATGATCATACTACACACGATATGATCTTTCGGGGTAGTAGTAGCTCCTATTGGCGGAACTACAAATACTCGGTATGTAGGGGGATACCATGTGCGCATCGCAGGCTTAACGCAATGAAGCTTTGTTGCCGTGGGATTGTTTGATGGACTATTGCATTAGACTCAACATACATGTCACGGTAGATACAAAGATCGTCCATGTTTGTACTCGAACTGCTTCTTTCATTCATTCGATATCATACGTATAATTGGAGTTGTACATGTTGGAATATTCTATTATTTTTTCGAGAAAGATTGTCTGATACGCTACACACTAAACGGATACCCTCAACTCTATGTAGTACCCGCGTAATAACGAACACAAAAAACACTATCGTTTTATTCGTTGCCGCATTTCAAACTCATTATTTACGCTTCTCCTCGGACATGCTACTACTCTTCTCTCGCTTACGCGACAGCGAAAACGCTAGAAGGAGTAATGTCAAATTCCAGAGTAGGGCTAACAAACTGGTTGTACACAGTCGGAGCAGAACCAGAGAAGTTGTACGAGGGGCGTCTATACCAAAAAAAAGGCACACACACACGTTAGTTACTGCTCATTTTCTCCCGTATAACCGAGTAGTAGTAGATATGGAGGACGGAAAAAAACAAAAAAAAAACTTACCCAGTCGGCTCATACCCATTCCACACAAAACTAACCAGAATCTCATTTGGCGTCGGATCATCGCCCACCTGCTCACTCAGCTTCGCCGCAACCGTATTGTTTGCCTCTGACAAAAACTCGCCAGGCGCAACCTCCAGCAGCGTGCACTCTTCATACCAGTTGCCTTTGCGGTACCACCCGTTCTCGTAGCCGTTGCAGTAGTACTTGCCGCCGCCAATGGCGGCGCGCACGCTGGGGATCGTCACGTTGAAGTTGTAGTAGCAGCCGCGGCGTTGGCATCCGGCTTCCCAGCCGCTGACGTGCCAGGTCCAGTTTGCGGGGATATCGATGCCACGAGACGTCAGCGCGGGAGTGACGGGTGTGGCTAGGGCACCTGCGGCGAGGGTGAGGAGCGTGGTGAATGAGACCATTGTTGATGATGATGATGTGAGATTAGGAGCGGGTTGGTTGTTGTCGGATATTAACTACGATTAAGGATATTTGATACTTGGTTGCGAATGCGACGTGGTGTTGGGAGGTCCAAGTAATTACGTGGGCAGTCGTCTTACTTTATATATTACACTCTTCTGTGCAATGACCACCGGGAAGCGGAACCAGTTCGGAGGTGGCAAGACTCGGACATGACAACTTTCCCAAACTATTCTTAGCAAAAGATCACCATGTGCCTACTGCATCAAGTACTTGTCTTGGACTAGCGATTCCATTGGTGGATTGTGGATACAATATGTATTGAATGGGCCAAATCCGGCCAACTTACTGTACAATGCCAATGGGTCCCCACTTTTTGCCAGGTCCCATGAGCACTATACGATTATTGAAAAAGGTCAAAAATGGTGTGAAATCTAATCATCATATCTACATGGTTACATATCTACGAGGTTCTATAGTGTGGGAATATGGAGACAAGAGAGAAGATCGGCGAGACTAGAAGTTTCCTTGATCCGCTTCCATCGGGTAGACACGTCTGACGACCGATTTCCGTTCCATCCCGTATCCCTTAGAGAAATGGATCGAGCTCACTTGCTTTGGGGAATAGGGTACTGCTGCCAGATAGTAGGGTAGACGTCAAACTCCTCATCGACTGCGACAAACGCGTTGTAACTCCAGTCCGTGGTGATTGCGGTGAAGTTGTATGGGTTCCTAAAATCCACTCGTATTAGCAAAGGCATGTAGTAAAAAAAAAAAGAGATAAACAAGGATAGAAGGAAATGTTGTGGCTAAACTTACGTCTGATCGGCTGCGGAACCTGGTTTCAAGAAGCTAACATAAAGTTGCTTGGGAGGCTCGGAGTTGACCCTCCTACCCAACTTGGCGGCAGCAGTAGCGGCATTGGCATCTCCAACTACGCTGCAGCCTTCAAATGAGTTTTCATTGCCAAATTCGCCATTCTCAGTGCCGCTGCAGTAGTACTTGCCGCCTTGTGGGTAGGCCTCGGATGCCGGAACTGAGAGGTTGAAGTGGTAGAAGCAGCCGCTGCGCACACAGCCGGCTTCGAAGCTTTCAATGTGCCAGGCCCAAGGGTTGGGGTAACCTGCGGGTAGAATCTGGTTTGGCGGTGCCTGCGTGTTGGCAGGGGCAGGTGCAGCGAGGGCGCCGGCAGCGAGGGTAAGGATGGTGGTGAAAGAGACCATGATGTCTGAGAGGGAGAGATTCGGATATCTAGCGGTTGGATATTAGGACTATCAACGTGAGTTGCGAATGTGAGGCTTGTTGGATGGTGATCTTGGATATGCGCGGCACAAAACTTGTTTATATACACTCTCAACTTTCCTCTCTTGCACAGTCCCCATGTAGTGGAGCCGCCTCGATGACGGCCGCCAGTTGAACAGGAATCCCCGTTTCTGGGACTTGGAACGATCCGACCCTCCGAAAACAGCTACCGCACACGATGCAACGGTTCTGGGATCTGCGGGTATTGGAATCCGTTCAATTCCCGTTTGGAAACTCTCCAGTCGAAGGTGGTAATGTCGACCGAGGATCCCATACGTTGGTGGTGAAGTTGGCTGTCAAGACCCTGTCAAGGACGTCATTTGAACGATTAGGGGTGGCGCAAATACGAGGCTGGGCGCTTGGGCCGATGAGCGGTGGAGGAAATGCGGCATCTCGGAGAAATTTACACTTTGGGCCCGGCACTATCTGCTGCTGCTTGGGCTCTTTGCTTCTATTTTTAATCCTCTCATGGCATGTCAGATGAGCGATGCTACGTGTGTTGAGCGATATACTTCCATGATGCTACCGAAATCTCCTAGCTACGAAACAACAACTAGTGTATACAGAATACAGAAACAAAGGCGAGCATTCTACCTGGAACGGCCCTTTGCGAATATGGAAAAAAAAAGCCATGAATAAAACAAAGTACCTGCGCCAATTTCCCAAACGGTCCAGTCCATCTTCGTTGGTGCTACATCTATGGGCACATCATTGTATACTTACACGCGACACATCTCCCGTCCGCCATACCGCCGATATCCTCGTAACCTGTATTGCTTATGTCCTTATCGAGGTGGTCTATCAATCCCAGCATACCTTCAAAGCTACGACATGTTAGCAAAATGATCAATCAAGTCTAGTTACGGCGAATAAATCCATCCACTTACCACATGGAAACGGAAAATACATGTCCTGGTTTTCCGTCAAATAAGCATGATACTGGTACTTTTCTTCCACGCCCTCTGGCTCCATGCGCTTGGCAACCTTGTGAATCTTGCCCTGCGGTCCCAGCGCAGGTCGCAAGTTCTTCAGCCTAGCTACCTCCTTGACCATGGTTGTAAGCGTTACACGTGTCATGGGGAGACCCAGGCACTGGTGCGGACCGTGACCAAGGTGAATATACGAATCCAGAGGACGCGTAAGGTCAACTGCATCCGGGTTGGTGAAAACAGCCGGGTCATGCGAGGCAGCACGTAGATTGACAAAAACAGTATCGCCAGGTTTGAGGTTGGTTGTTTTGCCATCTTCAGTGAGCGAAACGTCCTTCGCTACGGCACGAACGATGCCCGTTTCGCCGTTCAGCCGACCGCCTTCCATTGTGTAATGCATCAGCGTCTTGAAGGCTTCCTCGCTGTCGTCCAATGCGAGCTTCTGGATTGCAGGCCAGTGCTCCTTGCCCTCGCCGATCAGGTAGTATTCCAAAGTTTGGGCCAAGAGCTGGCCTTGGTTTGCTACCATGCCACCTGCAGTACCTAGTATATGGCCCCAAACGAGCTGCTTGGGATCCATGCCGCTTTCAAGGAGGCGTTTGATCATGTGCTTCCCATAGTTCTTGAGCGCGCTTTCTTGGGGCCAGATGGCTTGCACAATGCTGGACAAAATTCCGCTCCTTGCAATTGCTTTGACATTTGCCTCCACGATATTGCCGAGGAGTTGAGTTGCTTTGCGCGCCTTGACGTGCAGGGGGAACGAGGACGCGGGATCTGCGTCAAAGAAGATGAGAGCAAAGACAGAAGCCATGATAAGGTAAAGTTCAGCTTCCGTGAAGATGCCGCTGGGCTTCTCTTCCGTCTTGAGAGGCAGCATGAGAAGTTCCGAGCAAAAGTGAACGTGAGCTAGGTTTCCAATATCGCGGACGATGTCGACCTGGTTGAAATCGGCAATCTTGGCACTCTTCTTGCTCAGCAGCTCACGGGTCTTGTGTGTGTAGTAATTGCGCACTTCCTTGTCCCATTCGGAGATGTATAGAGCTTTGCTCATCATTTGGCGAGAGGCTGTGTTCTTAGGTCCGTCTCCAGCCAGCATAAAGTCTGCGGACGCAGGGCCCATGATGTATTCCATGGATGTTCCCCAGATCACTTTGAAGGTCTCTTGATCCTTCGTAATCTGAGTAGCTAGCTTGTATTCTTTGAAGAAATGCGGGTGATGCGTCTGTACTGGCTTCGAAAAGTCGTATAGATTGTCTTTCTTCAAATCTTTGAGAGCGACCTTCATAGCTGAAGGGATGGTGAGTGGGTAGTGCACATAGACGCTGTTGTATTTGAAATGTTTGGGGAAGGCGCGCAGGAAGAGCTTATAGAACACGCATCCGTTGTCGATTGCAGTATCGCTATCGGCCTGGCGGTAACCCCAGTTTGTGAGGGTGCGTGGGTTGTAGTCATGTGTGTAGAATCTGTCACCACGAACCAGCGCTACCGCGTCCGATAAAACGGCACGAGACACGGTATATGGGGGGCAAAGACCGGATCCGGGAGCCATGGGCTGTTTGGCGTCTTCCACGACGATGCCTGGGTAGATCTCGACCTTGTCAGGATGATCGTAGAGGTGCTTGAGCTGTTCCTGGGCATACTTGTCGGACGTGATGTCTTCAAAAGTGTTGTGTGGCTCAAGTTTGAAGTATTTCCTGAACTCATTGAGCGAGCCCAGGTTCCAGGCACGTGCCTGTTCAATACCGAGGACCTCAATGGCACGGAATACGGCAGGGACTCTGTTCGGTCCGAAGGAATTGGCACAGTCCTCGATACTAGAGGTCAGAATATCCACCAGACCTTGATCAGGCAATGTTCCGTCCTTGTTGCGCTCAAGGCCAGCAAATTTACGCTTTGCGGGATCGGGGTCGGTCCTCTTGTACACTTCGTTCAAGCGTCCCAAGAACTCGTATTTATTAACAGTTTTGGGGTCACGTCCTTCGCCGAACAGACCATCCCACATTTCTTGCGTCCACTTTTCATCGCGGTCAGAGACGGTGGAGTGCCATCGGTACACGAGATTGAACTCAGCTGAAACCTGGTTTCCGACGCCCATGGGCAAGTCTGGAATTTCGGCGCGCGGGTTCAGTTGCCAGTTGCTGTCTGTGCGGTTGAGGTCCAAGATGGTACGAACATAATCGATGAGAATGATGTTGACGTATAGACCGCAGGTGATCAGGCGACCAGTCTGGAAAAGGTCATTGTCATACTTTTTCCATGCTTCTTCGTACTTTTCCTTTGTCTTCTTGTCCACTTCTACATCGCCGGTGGATTTTGGTGCCTCAGCAGAAGGCTTGGTGAAGCGGCCTTGCTCGTTGATGGCTGCCAGGTTTTCGACAGTGTAGTTATGGAAACGGTTAAACATGATCAGCAGTGCGCCGACACCGGGGGGAAAGAAGAGCAGTCTTGACTCTGAAAAGCAATCAGGCTTGATCTTTCCGTCCTTGTGTGTCCTCATCCTGTCTTGCTCGGTTTGGTTGCTACCGTACAAAGGTGCGAGATCTAGGTATGAAGATGTCATCGAGATGGAATAGTCTGCATGATCAGTGCGGAAACAGTCGTGGATGATGATGGAAGCCAGGTAGAAGAGCATGCTTGATATCCTGTTGGGGTGCAGCTCCGCGTGCTTCCTTGTCATGAGGCTGTCAAAGACGACGCCGGGATCCGGGCGTGCAGGAGTCTGCATAGCAACTGGCTTCACTGTTCTCGCATACGGAGTTCCAGCTTTACCAATTTGAGGGTTCATAAGGCTGTTGTTAGACCCATCTGCAGATCTGTACTGATACTGTGCACCGAGGTATGATTGCGGAGGGTGTTGCAAGTCGTTCCACAACTGTTCGAGGAACTTGTTGGTGACGGCGTCTCTTGTCTTGGAGCCATCAGGCAACGCAGCAGCCGTTCGAATGAGGCCCTCCATGAGATATGTCTTGTCATCGGTATAGCCACCCAACATCTTTTCCTTCTGGATTTCAATTAGTGATTTGATGTCCTGAATTCCGAGATGAGACATGTCTCGGAGGCTACCCTCAATCTTGTTGTAGAGGGTAGCCTTCTCTTCGGGTGCGATTTTGGAGCCATCGCCAGTTTGGTCAGGAACTGGGGCTTTGACGGCTCCAATGAGAGATGCAACAGTGCTGAATGAAGCACCAATGGTGTTGCGTAGGTTGGTGAGTTCGGATGGATCGGCAGGTTTGGGGGGCTCGACGCCTGTGCGGGTGTCGACATGAGCATCCCAAGCCGCTTTGGCCTCTTCTGTGGCGTTGGACATGTTGTACTACGTCTGGTTAGCGACTATAAGAACTGTAACGATGCTGCGTTCTGGCACAAGGAAGCCAGGCGATGTGCTTGTAGAATTGTGGTACAGGTGTCTTTCATGTGCGGATAGTGGGGGCGGCGGAACGCTAAAAAGGAAACAACAAGTAGAAGAATAAGGAAAAGAGCTGCAAAGTGAGGAAACATGTCGGCTACTGAAGGTACATACATACGTGTTATCGATAGTGTCGAGGCCGACAAAGATGGCAACAAGACCAGCCGTCGACTCTCAAATCAGGAAGGCTGACAGTATATGCTATACTAGGTAACTTGCCAAACCAAGCTGGTAGTAAGCATGTAGCTGCGATGGCAGCAAAAGAAAAGCAAGCGTGGGGGGAAGGTACACTCGCAAGCAAAGGGTAAAGGTTCGGAGGGTTAATTGATGATGGGTGCAATGCACTCCGCCCCGTTCCTTCTTATATATATAAAAAAAAGCCATGCGGAGTCGTCCTTGCTGATAGCAGTAGTTGTCCCGCCCGCATGGCTACGGCTGATGGATCTGCTGTGTATGTGTGTGTAGGTGCTCCACTGGCTATCGTTGAAGCGGCGGTCGCCTTCAGCTGCCAACTGTAGGTCAAGGCTGCAAGCTGAACTATCCATGGCGCCCGCGGCCTCTCAGCATCCTGCAGATGATGAAGATGGCCAATGGAGAGGACGGCATTGTGCAGTTCGGCAGATGGATGGGCTTCGAGTGGGCCAGGCTGATACGACCCTGGGGCTGACTTTGACCGCCCCCAATGTGGTGCTGCCCTGCTTGCACGGATGCGGCGTACGGGCCCGGCGAGGCTTTGCCTGCTTGGGAAGTAGCGTGATGGAATGTGCTCCCGTTCACTTAAATCACACTGATTGGTTGAACTGGACGTGCACTGCCCTGCTGACATGGGACGAGAGATATGGAGCACTCACATTGGAAGTCTCTACTGATCATCTCTCATTTCAAACCCCGAAGCAATATCTTCAAGTCCACGAGGTAAGAAAGCAAAGCACAAGAATATGGGGGATTATGGTCATGCTCCCTGCGAGTGAAACGATGTATTCGCTCTGAAATGTTATTCGTACTGCAGATACAAGTAGAGGTATTTGATCTCACATGAACCAACATTAACAAAAGACAAATTTCGTCTTCTGCTCGACCAAAGCTGAACAAGTACAAACAATACATGGGTGACGACAGTAAACCACTCAAGTTATGCATAATGCAGAATCACAGTTGGATGTGGGATCCAAAAAAAACATTCTCTTCTTACCCTGTATTCGGTCAGGCAGCATTGCACAAATCCAGTCTAGGAGGGTCACAGTACATCATGGATGAGAAGTACACACATGAATACGTCATCTACATTCCCCCCGTACACTCGTCTCAAACCACTCTCTGCCGCTACCAACAGCGCCACCACCATCACAAGTCCAAGTATGAGCATAGTAGTACGTACGCACTCAAATGTGCTGCACACATACGATATCACGCCAGTCCACATATGGTAAAGCTTCTTCTCTTCCCCTCCGTCACTAGCCAAGCATCGTTCATCCTCGCACACACAGTCACACACACACACCCACTCACATGCCCGTCCCGCTGCGCCTGCATCTCCCTCTCTCAAACGAGCCATATTCAGCAAACCATGACGCGAGCCCATCCATCCATCCATCCATCCATCAGCCTCGTCTTCCAAAGTTTAAATTGCTCTGTGTGTGCGTGTGTGCGTGCGTGTCTGCCTCGTTTCGCTGGGCAAAAAAGGAAATAGGCAACCAGACTAAGTCTTTTTTCTTTTTCTTTTCTGGGCGACTGACTCCCCCGTATTGCTACGCGTCGAGATGCCTTGTCGCCTGATTTTGCCTCGGCTTGGCCTTTTTTCGCTCGGGCCCGACTGCTCGATTTGGGGGCCCCGCTAGTGAGATTGTATGTACTTGTAATGCTGAAAAGGCAGACGTATACGTATGTATTTCCATAGATGTGTGTGTCGATTTCTAGCAGCTGTCGAGCAAAAGGAAGGCGGGGTTTACTCGGTCGCTCTCATCTGATTGGCGGCGAGGTGGAAAGGTAGCAATCCGTCGAGGGCCGGTTCGCCGGATGCAGCGGCGGGGGTGGGGGCAGCAAGATAGCCACCACAGGCTCAACCACAAAAGCCTTTTCGGCCACAGCGATACTTTACACGCCAATCAAATAGAACTATGAATAAGCCATTCATCAAGGCAAACCGTTACACGAGACAAGCTGCTTTTTGTTGTAAACAGGATCAAGGGGATGGGGTTTCAAGATTGTTCCTCGCTCCATGAGCATGGATCTATCGATTACCCTACCACCACCACATTGGCTATTAAAAAGTGAATAGAGAAGGCCAAACTACCAACATCGTCCATGACAGTATGCATTAGCCTCGGCCATGGGGCTCTGGACACCCAGATGCAAGCAGCCAGTTAAACCCAACAGGACAACAGCCCCCCCCGTATTGTAAGTCCTTCCGCTTGGCTTAGAATCCACCCGCTAAGCAGCCTAATCAACGATACATTCTGCATTTCCACACACAAGCCCGCGAGTACATATGCTGTGTAACCAAGTTTGCAAAAAGTAACGACACTAGCCATGATTGGACCACCGCCTTTGACCATCGGAGGTCGCGTGACACCGGCCATTTACCAGATACCCGGGAGAATGGCATACCTCTTGCGCTTGTACTTGTCGCCAAATTCCTTGCGATACCTCTTCTCCTTCTTCCATGCCCATACACCCATCTGCCCAACAGCAATGACAACGAAGAGCACCGTGGACAGGCTACGATTGATCAGGGCCACACCGAGCCATGCCATCGACTCGAACATGTAGTTGGGACACGTCACCAAGTTGAAGCCCAAGCCCCGAGGAATGCCACGCTCGGTACTGCCTGGGCGACGCAAGTTCTTCAACGTGACGTGTGTACTGTAGTTGCACACTTCGCCAATGGCAAACAAGGCGACGCCTAGGTAGGTAAGGAGAGGATTTGGGCGTCCTGCTGCCGGGCTGTTTGGACCATAGCTCCAGTAAGCCAGGTTCAGGCCAGAAAGGAGCCAGTAGTGGCCGCTGTTCTTCACAATGTTCATGGCGGGCATGGTAGCCGACGAGAAGCGGTGCACAAAGAGCGTCTCAAACTCGCGCTTGGCAAAGTGGAAGACACACATGGCCAGGGTGAGTGTCTGGAGCTGGGACGGGGGCGCAGAGGTGCCGTAGATCAGAGGGCGGCCGAAGTAGATGAGCGGATGGATGAGGAGGGGTCCGAGGTATTCGACAATGAAAACAGTTCGCCATGATATCTGTGGCCCTGGAAGACAGTAAGCCCTGAGCATGTTGTGACAAAGTGCGCTGCATACCCAAGTCCTTGACGTCGACGGCGCTCTTGTTCCTCAAGCCGGTGTCGTGCACCTTGACATCCTTGGTGTTTGGTATTGGGGACCCATCGCTGCCCTTTGTGACCCGCAGGCGGTGGATCGAGAAGCGCGAAGCTTTTGCAATTTCCTCAAAGATCTGAGAGGTCGAGGCATCGGCGTTGACAGTAATCGTCTCGGGAAGGTTTTTGATCGGGCGGCCTGGCGAGGGGTTAATCTGGCTGCCATTGGAGAAGCGGGGAACAGCAGACAGACGGAGCGTTGGGCTGCCGCAGGGAATTGTCCTTACCTCGAGGGCGCACAACAATTGTGAGGGGTGATGCGGACATTGTGATGTGCAGAGGCAGGTGTGCGTGTCGAGGGTGGGACTTTTGACTATCTGTTTAGGTTGAGGTGCCTCGGCCCACCGGGGAAGCTAGGCGGACAGGAGCATAGCGAGCAGGCACCGACTACCACACACTCAACCACGAGTCAAGGAAAACCAGCCACTTGGCCAATACAACTAATCACGAAATACTGAATTGACACTCTCGAGTACTGGGGCTCTTCACGAACCGTGTGTTTGTCTTCGCACCTCGCTGTTGCCGATGAGCATGTGATTGCTGACTGACAGTGGGAGAAAAGTAGCGGACAAGACGTCGCATGCGCTGACAGAGAGATCTCGTGCCATTACTTCACCCAGTCACAGTTCATGTCCTGTCTCTCTCTCTTCTTCTCTACTCCCGCAACTGGACCACAATCTGCCATGCAACTTCGGGGCCCATGCAAGCCACCATCTCACCAACCATGCCTTGGATCGAATGAGGATCCCGCAAATCACTATTGTCCCACGATACAAGATCCTATGAGTTGGTCAGCGCCAGCTAGTCAAGGATTGCCCGGCATATGTTGACATACCTGAAGTTCTACCAGTCTGCTACCTGCACGAAACGGCATTGTAGCCAGATCAATTTTTTCTTCGATCTCTTCGGCCGTCATCACCCCTGGCATCTTGAGATCGAAAAGTGACATTCCGTTCATCCATGCGTCTGCGGCCTCGGTAGGCGAGACTAAGGGAAAGTCTGAATAGTCATCTTGTTCTGCAGTGTCGGCGCCGTCCGTCTGCTTTGCCGCAGACGCTTGTTCCTTCTGTCTCCGCCGCTCCCTCGCCAAGGACACATACTTTTTCTTGTCAAGCAGGCTACGCAGTTCACCATCCAACGGGTGCCACTCATACGACTCTGGGTCGAGAACGTGTTGTGGCTTGTAGTCGCCTTTGTACTTCATCTTGGTGCACGTGTGAATGTAGTAGCCCATGTAATAGTACTCGTAGCCGCCCTCAAGCGCGAGCGCGGCTTCACGGAGGGCACTCAATTTGCCAAACTGCCATTCTGCAACGTCGGAATGGTAGAGCATGTACACACCACTGACACAATGGGGAAGCAGGTCCAGCACTCCCATTGCAATCAGTCGGCCATCGAGGCGGTAGCACTGATGGAAGGAGCCCAAAAGCTGTTCTTTGCCATTGACAGTGCGTGAGGTTTGCTGTAGTGGAGAGTCACAGAGAAATCTCCTGAAGCCGGATTGTGATATCTGGCTGGAAGGCTCCTTGTGTACAGTTTGTTGGTAGTTCTTGAACAAGTCGTACTTTTCGGCCGTGAAGACTGCTGGTTCAAGCGTCACCTCGAAGCGATGGGCGGGTTCAGGCGGCTGTTTGACATTTTGCAGTTCTGCCCTGTGCACCTCTCGGACAAGGTCAAACGTGTTCTTTAGCCGAGCCTTTTCTCTGCCCATCATTAGCCTAGGCGCGGGATGGGTCATGTGGAGTGCACCGACTGTTTGGAAAGCGGGTAGAGCCTAGAAGCCTCTTTGATGTACGACTCGCCTAGCACATGGTCGTTCCAATGATTGACCGCTTTCCGCTGGTCTTTGGAGGGCTTGAACGAGTCAACAGGCAGACTTGTGTGGGATCAGCAGTGTTGGGCTTGTGGACATTGGCAATGCTTACCGAATTGTGTAATGGGGGCAGCAGTGCCGCAGGACGTCTGGCTTGTAGAAGAGAGTGCCGGATCTACAAGGGCGGGTCAGCAGCTGTTGTATTTAGGGCATAGTGGTGGACTATCACCTCCTCCAGCCGCGGTCGACCAGCAGCTGGTAGACTTCAACGGTCAAGCGTTTGGAGAGAAAGTAGAAGCTAGCACCTGATTGGCTGTGTTAGTTGGGGGTCGAAGCTCATCCCGGCTTCTCCCGCTCGGTGCTAGGATGGCCCGTGGCCGTGGTTACAGGCGGGGGGGTTTGAGAGGAGGGGTCCATGGGGGGGGGGAAAGCAGAAGTGTGGTCAGGGCGAGTGGAAAGGGTGGATGCACTTGGCGCGCCTATGATGTGTATGTATGGGCTGTAGGCCGGTAGATGGTAGTAGGTGTAGTGTGTAGTAGGGCGAGGGAGATGGGCTGGGCAGGGGGAAAATGACCAACTAAGGGAGCAGAATTGCTTGCAGTGCGGGGGCCCTGCACGTGCAGCTGTGCAACCTTAACGGGACATCAAGTGCAGGCGACGAGTCTTGACACGGGATGGGGTGGGGGAGGGGAGGACGGAGGGAAGGAAGAGAAAGACGCACGAGAATTAGCAGCGTCTTTGCAGTATCCACACTCATCGCTGCTCCGGTAGCCTGTACAGCGGCGGTTAGCGGGTCGTGTGGATGAGAGTGAGGGAGGAGGAGACAGGGAGCGGAGCGGCGGCGCGAGGGCGGGCGAGGCCCAGGAACCAGCCAGACCAGCACGGGGCGGAGGGCAGCAGAGTGGTTGGAGCATGACATACCGGCGGGCGTTGCGCTCGACTGCATGAGGGCAGCATAAGCGTCGTGGTCGGCGGTGGGGGTGGTGCCGGTCGAGGATGATGGGGGCAGTGGCGGCGCAGGGTTGAGGAGAAAAAAAGGGAACAGGGAGAGGGAGAGAGTAAGTGCGTGTATGTATGTATGTATGGGATGTTGTTTGTGTGTGTGCATATGTACGTATGGATGTATGTGCCTATGTCTACCTAGCCTGTATCTAAGTATGCCGGCCAGTAGGTATGTATTGTGATACTAGCACAGCGGCGCTGTCGGTACATGCTACACATACACGAGGCCCGTCTGGCGTCTTCTAGTGGGCGTCGCCCGCAGGCAGCCAAAACGGCGGGCGAGGCACGTACGTCATGGCGGTGCATTTTACTCATCCTGCCTGGCCCCGTCGGCCTGGTGTGCGTATGTGTGTGCGTGCGGTGCAGTGGTGCAGATGTAGTAGTAGTAGTACTACTACTACTACTACACACCCACGTATAGTAGGCCGTGAATGACTGCCACCTGCTTATCCGCCTCTCTGCTCTTCTGCCCCATGCCCCCGTCCGCCCATGCGCCCATCTGTCCTCTTGTGGGTTGGCGACTCCTGCACGCACCAGGGCCGCCCCCGGACCAAGCTCTCGCTGCTCGCTGCTCTCCTGCAGGCCCGGCCTTGGCAACAGCCGTGACGCTTCCGCCAGTCCTTAGTTTCGCACGCAAAAAAGTCCCTGACCCGAACCACCTACTAAAACATCCCCATCCACCATGCCGTCCCTCTCTGCTGCCCGCAGGCTCCTTCACCTTCCTCAGCCCCGTCACCCGCGGGACTGAGCCTCGCTCAGCCCACACAGCCCACAAGACTGCCACTGCCACTCGCCTTCCCACCCCCCCTTTTTTGATCAAGCTTGATCCCCCCCATCTGTTCCCCGTCCTGCCGCCCGCCACGCTCGCTGCTTGCTCGGCTTCATTTCACACCGCCTGGCGATCCTCTGCTCCTCCCACGGCGCTCCTCCAACTCGTCGTGCGCTCCTGTCGCGTCCGACTGAGTCGCATCCACGCCCTGCCACCCACCACTCTCCCTCTCCCTCTCGCCCTCGTCTGCATTGTCCCTCCACCTGTCGCGACATGGCCGCTACCCAACAGCTGTCGATGCAGTCACGCACAGGACGTCTCAACCAGCGTAAGTCTGCTCACGCGACCCCACACGCGCTCGCCCTGCGCACTCCAATCCAAACTTACTAGTCTTTTGCCACTTTCCTTTGTCTGCACCTGGCTGATTAGTCCTAGGCTACGGCTCCCAAGGCGAGCGCCTAGTCGCCGGCGTGGTGCCGCTCTCCGCCGACAAGTACTACGTCCTGTTAATTCAGTCGACCAAACGCAACGGCTGGGTCCTCCCCAAAGGCGGCTGGGAGACGGATGAGGCAACCGCCCAAGACGCTGCCAAACGCGAAGCCTGGGAAGAGGCGGGCATAATATGTAAAATCAACTACGACCTCGGCCTCATCCCCGAGAAGCGCAGGCCCGATCAGCTCACCTCACAGGCCCCCAAGGCCTCGTACCATTTCTTCGAAGCCACGGTCGAGAAGCAGGAAGCCCAATGGCCCGAGCAGCACAAGCGGAATCGGAATTGGTTCAGTTATAGCCAGGCCCGCCAGGCCTTGGCCGAACGCCCGGAACTCCTCGACGCCCTCGACCGGTGTACCATGCACAGAACTTAGATTTGCCCCTCTGCGGCGCCTTCTCTTTGTCCTCTCCATTCATCCCCTTCCTCTAATATTGCATCAACACGGGATATTTCTAAAAGTTTCGGGGGTTTACTATAGACATCTGACACTATCTTGTTTGCTTCTACACATGGCGTTGTGGTAGCTCTTCGTCAGGTAGAATGATGCATTGACCGCTCTCTTGTAGCAAAGAGTTGCCGGGCCACGCCAGGCTCACAATTACGCAATTTGGCATTGCCGGGTACTGCTCTTCTCGGCTTTTCTTGGTGCTGTCTTGATCGTCCACTAAAAACACTATCCAAAGCACTGTTGCATGGTTCGGTAATAGACCACTTTGCCAAGACAGATGACTGGCCTTTGGCACACATTTGCCTTTGTCTCTTTCCTGCACTCAACGCAGTGTCAATACGCCGTTCTTCCCGTCTTGACCGTCTTCAGTATCCCCTCGTCAGCCAGCTTCGAAATCATGTTGTACAAGACGAAATCACAGCCTCTCTTCACTACCATGTTAATCGTGACAGGCACCATCTCTTCATGAAACGTGACATTGCTCTGGTATGGCACCTGTCCAATAGGAACCGTGAAATCCGCACACCCAAAAATCGGACAGATACTTGCTCCCGTGACGGCAGCGCCCTCGGGCCGAACAGCCAGATAGGATGCGTCCGGCGACTCGTTAAGCAAGCGCTCGCGGAACGAAGGCAGCCCTCCCGTACCGATATCATACAGCATGACCGACTCGGAGCATGACTCGGCTGTGCTATACTGGAACTCGTCCTCGTACCACGCCACTGCCTGCCTCTTGGTCTCAAGAGCTGCATCATAGCTCGCTTGGTTTGTCACGCTCTCGTTGAAGCTTATCCATCCGGGCCGTCGTGCAGGATCAATTGGTGGGAAACGACCCTCAAACATGTCTCTCCACGCTGTAATCAAGGGCCTGCCGACAACCAGCCATGAACTCCACGTGTTGATTGTGCCTGTTGCTTGGTTCATGATAGTAAAGTTACTCGCAATCGGATCCCTGGCATTTTGCACAGTAGCAGTGAAGTTTACCTTCTTGACACGCATATCGAACACGCCTGCCATTTCTTCAATAAACTTTGCCAGGATCGGTTCGGCGGCCGAGTTGTTCAGTGGCAGGTAGTCGGTGGGATAGATGATTGTTTTGGGGAATGCGTTCGTGTCCGGCATAACGAGGGGTGAGAGGCCGGTAATGGACGTATCTTGGTACAAATGAGGAGCATACCATGCTTTGGCAAATTTGACCCATTTGTGAGGATCGCGACTGAAGACACCTGCCGTGTCCGTTGCAGCGCCAAGTGGAATAACGCGTTCGAGCGACATGAGACCCTGACTTGGACGTTGACTATTGTGTGCATTTTAGCTTCGATAATAGGGTCAATTCAAATCACCACATTGGGACATAAAAACATACCCATACACGCCAGCCACTGCGGCCGGTCTTCGCATAGAAGACCCTGTATCACTGCCCACAGCATAATCCAACCAGTCATATGCTGCGACCGCACATCCGCCTCCGGACGACGAAGCCGAGCAAGTCAACCATCCATCTCCTCTAGGGTTAAACGGATAATGCTCGTCCTGCCACTCCCAGGGATTTGCCCCAGACGCAAATTGAGCTAGTTTCTGCTTTCCAACCACCACACCCCCTAGGTTAAGAATCTGCTGCACCGAAGGTGCGGTGCCATTAGCTACGGGTGTAATGACTGTCCACGCATGGCTGCCCGCACTTGTTTGCAGCCCTTTGATATCGTAGAGATCTTTGATGGCTACGCGGGACCCAGCCAGGGGACGAGGGTCGTCCCATGAGTAGATCCTAGAGGGAACACTGTGGAAAGTTCTTAGTAAAAGTTTTTTTGCGTTCAATCACGACACCGCTAAGCATTGGATAACTGACGGTATCAATGGATCTTGGAATTTCGGCGAGAGCATGCCAACAGGGTAGTGTGTGCCTTCACCGTCATTGGCGCCGTATGCCCCGAACAAGAACGTCTTGTACGTATCGGCATATAAGCGATAAACGGTAGCAAAGCTTATCGAGCTCCCGTCAACAGAGGCAAGGTATGGCCCTGCTGGCAGGTCGACAGAAGATTCCAGCGCTACTTTGTTGATCGTTGTGTTTGCAATCACCAAGGGATCCAAGAAGAGCCAGGTGCTGTTGAAGGAGGAAATGTACTCCACGGCAGAGGCGTCAAGGGAAGACTGCACCCGTGACGAAATGTACAGTCCGCCTAGGAAGTCATGGCTAAACACGTCATCGCCTTCAACGTACGTGGAGATGATGGCTTTTAATGTATCTTTAGTGATGAGCGTCGTATTCGTCTTGACCAAGGCAATGGGTATCGAAGTCGATTGACCAGACGTGATTGTAGTACAGCGCGCACTAGCTTTTGGGTGCTTTTTATCTGCTAGGTACGAAACATCTCCGAGAGCAAAGATGGTATGGCCGACAGGATTGCTCAAAACAAAGTTGTACGGGTTCCTCTGGACGATAGGAGCGGTCGCCGCAGAACTCGCTGCAAGCAATGCGATGAGCAGATTGGAGCGGGTCGCCATAGTGCTCGCGAATGTCGGTCAGGTATTTGAACGTCTGCCATTATGCCTTTTATATCCATCCCCGCAGTGATAAAAGTGGGTCGATATAGGCATGGGAGATAACAGCCGTCCGGAGATGGCTCTCTTGCCATTAAGGGTATTGACTGGCAAGCGCTAGTAAGTATCGCCAAAGACCAGCCTTTCCCCTTATAGTCACAATGCATGTCTTGGCAGATGCAGCCCAGCGGTACCGCAATTCCAAGACTATGATGAGAATGGACTGCTATTGCCAGAATACGACCACTTTGAGACATCAAAACGATCTCTCAATTTTTAATCATGTTAAACCCGCCCTATACTACGTGTTTGGCTGCATCTCAGGCAACCGTATCACATGTACCTACGATATTGTACGAGGTCACCCATGATTGCTATGTATGTAGTACAGAGTTTCAACGTGGTGATAGCAACTTGGAAAGGTGCGAAACTTATGCAGGGTTGCCAAAACTCTATTCATATCTACACCATTATAAGCATGTAACCTGGTCCCATATATGGATCACCCGTGATGGTGTTACTAGCTATTGTATTGGTTGATACGAACTTTCTGAAGGAGCATAGATACAATACTTTTATCTCTAAAAATTCTTGCAATAGTCAAACGGGGAAAATCTTTTCCAAGAGGGCTTCTTCGGCACTAAAACGCGAGAAAAAAACTCATTCCTCCGAATCGCTGTGTCGAAAAAAAAATCGGGTTAAATGGTTACTGGAATAGTCTTTATACTTAGGAGCTTGCTTTTGAATCTTGGAGAGGGACATGGGGGTTGTTATATCGAGCTATCTTGTCCACTCTAGTAATGTCATACTTCAGCTATGTTGTTGTAGATGGCCTTGTAGACAGCATAGTTGTTTAATCAAAAGTAATGTGACACCACCTGATATTCGGAGACTACAGTTAACGACAAATGTTTCAGAGTTAGAGGCAGGCCTTTTAGTAGTGTAAGAGCCAAAGAGTGAATGCGCTTTGCGCTTGGTTACATCTAGTGACCCTTTATATAAGCCATCCTACAACCCATGTCAGCATGCTTCAGATTCAGATTCTTACTCTTTATATGCACTCTCACATGTAGTCATTCCTACCATATTCGTACAAACTTGCGGTCTATTCAAAGCCTGTATCCCTGTCAATAGTTTCCTTGCAACATTTTGCGAAGTTCTGGGTTGGGGTAGTCTTGTCAAGAATACACTTCGAATCGGTTAGCTTCATCCTAGATTGAGATATGAATTTGTGTACATCGTGGTCGCTAGCATAACTGACATAACGATGAAAAAGGATAACGTTAAAAGCGGCATGATATGCCCTACTTGAGCCTGCACTGCAGTGATAGGGGCAGGTTCCCGCATATACTGGAGCAAAAGCAGTTTCTACTTCTCTATTTGAACAGAGGGGATTATAAAAATTGCTATCCAGATTAAGTGGACAACTAGCAACTTGTGAATTATTGGTTAGAGCTGATGAAACTGGTTATAAAGCCCCGAAACGGGCATTCCGTCCATTTTCGTCCACTTCCGGCCCCGCCAGTTTAGTCCGTAACGTTGAGAATGATTGGGAACACTGTAATTATAGTCGCTTTCTTAGTAATATACGTACACGGTAGTGTTACAAAGCGTCTTTTTTCTCACATCTAGTGGGCAGAAGTATAAAAATCTCCATTCGTCAATTAAAAGATAGACTTCCTCCTTCCTACAAAATCTTTGTTCACTAAGAAATTTTCTCTAGCACCTGCATATTGAAATGGGCATTATAGCAGTTGCTGGAGGAACTGGCCAGCTTGGCCGCACCATCGTTGAAGAGATCCTCAAACGCGGAGGCCAAGAGGTGATCATTCTCGGTCGAAAGGTAATGCTGCCAATGCGATACTACATTAGTGAAGGCTAACAAACATGGGCAGAACGATGAAGTGAAGGCCAAGGAAATTGGCGCCCGCATAGTCGCTATAGATTACAACAACACCAGTTCCATTGTCACCACACTTGAAGAGAACAAGGTCGAAACCGTGATTGCAGTATTGAACTTGATGGACGGCATTGAACCTGAATTAGCCTTGATCACTGCTGCGGATCAATCAAAAACAACGAAGCGCTATATTCCCAGCTGTTGGGGAGTTAAATACTCGCCTGAGTAGGTCACAGAATCACATGAAGGCTCATATGGGTATCAAATAAACTAACTTTCACTAGACTTGCCTCCATTTCCCCTCTAGGTGCTGGCAAGCTTGCCATCCTGCATGCTGTCGAGGCCACCTCTCTTGAGTCTACATCAGTGATCAATGGCATGTTCATGGATTACTATGCTTCCCCGGATATGAAGACATATATCCAACCTCTCGCTTTGGTTCTCGACATGGCCAATAACGCCGCTGCCATTCCAGGTTCAGGTGACGTGCCCGTGGTTTTTACCTACACTTTTGACATTGGGCGCATGGTTGCTGCTCTGCTAAGTCTACCAAAGTGGAGTAAGGAATACTACATCATCGGCGATAGATTAACATGGAATCAGATTGTCCAGATGGCACAGGTCACAAAAGGTGTCACATTTGACGTGAAACATGATTCGGCAGATACACTGAAGAAGGGACAGGTCACTGAGTTCTCTTCTCACATACCCTTGTATCCATTCTTCCCTAAAGAACAACTGCAGGGTATGCTTTCGTGGTTTGGTATCTTGTATGATAATGGAAACTTTGATCTGAGGCCGACAAAGGAGCAAAGCCTGAATGAGATCTTCCCGGAGATTAGGTTGAAATCAATGGAGGAAACGATTGGATCATGGAAAGGAAAATGAATCCAACAATGTGGTATGAGATTCCTTGACAACAACGTAGATAGCAATGCAAAGCTGTGATCTTTCTAGGGTCTATTTGAATCAATCTGAGTTTCTGTCTGATATACCGGGTTAGGGTTCCGTTAAGAAACTTGAGATAGAAACGGTGTCACATTCGGTGAAACAGGTGCCTAGATGCTACTATAGCGCGAACAGATAATGTCACGGCCGGGACGACCACCAAAAGGGACAAGTTATCAGAACAGTATATGGTACAAGTGTTGTCTATCCCGGTAACGTGCGGGATCAGTAAGCTGGAAAGATCAGTAA